GAGGCGCTGGACTCTCACATGGCTGACCATGGTTTGAGTCCTGGACCTGGTAGTTTAAAACTCATACCAGGCACATGTGCGTGTGTGCCCCAAATCCCGAGAGGACGGTAAATGAGAAGGGATTATGGCATGGCCATCCATCCTGGGGGGTGATGTCTCACTCTTGCTCTCTGTCTTTCCAGTGAGTGGACACGCCCTACAGCAAAAATCATTAAAAAAAAAAAAAAAAACAAACCACCAGTGCAAATGGCTAATCAGTTCCCAGGTTTGGGGTGAGTGAACTTGGAAAAATGACCCTGTGCTCCTGGTCCAGTACCTGCACACATTATTATATAAGCTATGTGGTGTGAGGGCTGGCAGGTGGCATGGTAGTTAAGGGCACTAGACTCCTGCATGGCCAACTATGGTTCAAGTCCCGGATCTGGTGGTTTGCTTTCTCACTTGCCCTATCTCTTGCTCTGTCCTTTTCTGGTCAAATTAAAAATAAATAAAATTAAATTAAAATAATTCTTAAAAAAAAAAAAAGAAGAAGAAGAACATGGGTGGTGGTTAAGGTAGCTAGATTCCCATGTGGCCGACTGTGGCTCAATTCCTGGACTCAGTAGCTTGAAACTCATGCTAGGTGCATATGTGCATGTCCAAAATCCTGAGAAGAGAATGGATAAGGGATTGTGGAGTGGCCACCTCCTCTGGGGAGGTGATTTCTCACTTTCCCTCTCTCTCTCTTCTCTGGCATGTGCACATACTATATGGCAAAACCAAAAAGAAAAAAAAAAAAAAGAACAGAAAAGAAAGGAAGAACACCCAAGAATTGTTTGTATAAAGGTCAGTGAAAGAGTGCCTTAGCCTTACACTGCACAGGATACACTGAATACTCAACATTAAATGATAACCTTTAGTATTGTGGTTCCTGTCCCTCTTCTCTAGCTCTCCTTGTCTGGGAGCTCACATACTTCAGGGCGGTTTGTAAACCGGATTTAGGAAGTGTGCTTCTCCTGAAAAGAGAGAAAGCACCTTTGGGTGGGACAAATGAGACTCCCTTGAATTCTGTAGGCTTCTCTCTCTGAGGTGGAGGCTTTATCAAAACTCTACTCAAAGGATAACCAGCTTTTTTCTGATGTGTTTGAATTAATCCTGGGAAAGGTAGTCATTTAAGATACTGCAGTGTTGTTCTCAAGCCATGACCAAAGGTGAACAGTAGACCAGGGTACAGCACTACCCCAGTGGTGGCAGAGGGAGAGCCAGGCAGAGGGGGTACGAGTGATTGATGGCAAGCCAGGTTAGGAGGCGGTCTAATGAGGACAAAGTTGGCAGCTGTCTCTCCCCAAAGGCCATACCTGGGGTTGGCTGGGCTGGAAGCAGGTCCTCTCTCTTCTGCTGTTTCCGGAGTTGCCGTGGCGGTATCCTCCTCCAAATCCTGACTCCTGGCAGGCACTTAGGAGCTGGGAGTTCAAGCATCTCCTCATCTTGCTGTCTGGCCATGGTCTCTGACCTACCCTCGGGGACACTGGTCTGGGGCTGACGGGATGGGGGCTTGCTCGGAGGCTGCAGAAACGCATCGAGCTTCTGTTCCCGGGAATCCGTACGGACCATCTGGTGGGCATAGACTTTGTCACCACTTCCAGAAGCAGATGAGGGCGTCGGACCTGCTGAGGATTTAATCACCTCCCCAGAGGGACCAGCAAGTCCCGGAAGCAAAGTCTGTTACAAAAAAGAAGAAACAAATAAGACTAAAATGAAGTACAAATGTGCAGGCTCCTACATGAAGATTAATGTCATAGCCAGGAATAATGATCATTACAGATTTATTATTAGAAAAGCAATCCTGACCAGAGTTGGGAGTATAAAATAAAGAATTTGCAAATAAAATTCAGGAACTAGGCAAAATCCTTACAATCTTAAAATCAGCTTACAATGAAAATACTATTTAAAATTCTCATATATTTTGCTGCCATAAGAAAACTTTTTTTTATTGTCATAAAACATATAAAATGTTAAGAGTTACCCTTTTGACCATTTTTAGGTGTGAGCTCGGTAAGTTCAGTGGTATTTAGCACATGTTCACACTGTCGTGCAGCTATCCCCACCACCACCTCCAGACTGAGACTCTACACATCAAACAGTAACTTCCCGTTCCCTCCTCTCTGCTGCTGGCAGCTACCAGGCCCCAGGCCCATTTCTTTCTATTTTTTTTTTTTTTTTAGAGGTTTATTCCCTTAGGGCATGTGCTTGGATCAGGGGAAGCAAGAGACAGTGAGAGAGAAAGTGAGACATCACTCCCTGGGGGAATGGCCTTGCTGCAATCCCTTCCCCTCCATTTGCCTTCCAGGATCTTAGGCATTCATGCACATGCACCCGGTGTGATCTTCAAGCCACTGGATCCGGGCCTCAAACTGCGGTCGGCCATGTGAGAATCCAGTGATACAACTGCTACACCACCCGCTGGCCCCCACACACTTCCTAACTCTGCTCACTGAAGAGGCCCAGAAGCGGTGACCATCCAATAGCCAGGAGGGTGCCCAGGTCACAGATCATCATAAATAAATACCACTCTCCCCACTAAAATCAATCAGATGGGAAAATGGCCCATTCCAGGGCTTAGGTCTGGAACATACACAGTTTGCCTGTCACATTTTGTCTTGCCAAAAATAAGGGAAGCATCAAAGACTAATGGAAATGGGTAAAAAGGATGAGGGCACCAGCTTGAAGGAGCTTCCACAACTAAAAAGGGATAATTTGAGTATCAAAAAAAAAAAAATGGGTTTGGTGGTTAATGGAGCAGATCCCACGTGGCTGACTGCAGCTTGAAAAATACGCCAGGCACATGTGTGTGCCTAAAACCCAGACAGGATGCAGAAACGGAGGAGGAAGGACTGTGGCGTGATCAAGCCTCACGGTGGGTTGCTTTCTCCCTCTCTGTCTCTGCGTTTCTCTGAGTGCATGTGTCCCCTAGCATTTAAAAAACAAAAGGAAAAAAGATGACCACAATTTACTCAAATATGATGCTTTGTTAACAACTAAGACAAAATAATGAGTGAGGAATACCAACAATGGGTAGGAAGGACAGGAGGAGGGAAAAAAAGTGAAAAGCACTAGAAATTGCTAGAATACCAACTCATTCCTTTGAAAACTAAGAACCAGAGGGCTACAATGCAGCACTTAGCGTTCTTTCCTACTGTGAGCTACATTTCAGGATAACCAAATAGCTCTAATGAGGGAAAGTTCTTCTAAAAAGAAGAATGAAAGTCAGTACAGATAGAAATGATAAAATCAGAAAGTCATACCTTGCGATTCAGTGATATAACTGATTCAGGTAACAGTCATCAACAAACAATGAGACTATCAACCTCAACACCGAGAGGGGACTTTACCATAAAGGAAGCAGGCTGTCACCAGCAGCAGCCACTGGGGAATCTCATCACCGAGATGACACACTAGGTTATTATGCGCCTCCTGCTGGGAAGTGACAGAAAGTGCAAGGGACCACAGAAAAACTACGGTGACTTCCCGAGCTCCAAACAGAGTTAAAGAGGTTTAAGAGCCATCCAAGTGAATGTCACGAATGAAACTTGATTGTATACAGAGTTGAACAAGGTTGCTGTGAAAAGATCTCTTTTGGATGATGAGAACACTTGAATGTGGACTGGATAGTAAGTGATGTCACTACTGTTCCTTTTTGTTATAGGGCATATGCACTCACCAGAGACACAGAGAAAGGGAAAGTGAGAAATTTACCCCTGGGGGGGGGATGGCCATGCTACCATCCCTTCTCCTCCTTTCTCCTCTTGGGATTTTGAGCACACGTGCACACACATACCTGGCCTGAGTTTCAAGCCTCCAGGTCTGGGACTTGAACTGCGATCAGCTATGTGGGAGTCTAACACCTTAACCACTACACCACCTGCTGGCCCCGATGTCACTACTACTAATTTTATTCGGTTCAAATTGTGATTACAGAAGGAAATAAATTTCTTCAGTTGCATAATGAAGTACTCGGAAAAAATAAATGCCTCCAATGTACTATAAAATATTCCTTTCCCTATGTCTGAGTGGGAGACAGACAGATTACATACATATGAAAAATGATGACGGTTGTTGAAACCGGATGAGAGGTATGTGGATATATGTGGTACAGGGAACTTCAAAAAGTAGGTGGCAAATTAGAACTAAAGCATGAATTTATTAGGTGCAAACAATTTTTAAATCCGTGCATAGTTTTTTTCACAATATACCTTCTCCAATATGACAAAACTAAAATACACCCCTTCTTTTCAAACCAAATGGCTTTACTGAAAACCAGGGCTTTGCAGGCACGCCCTGGGCAGTGGAGCACCAGGCATAGCTGAGCAACATGAAGACAGTGGTTCTACGGCTGCAAAGTCAGGAGCCTGTGTGACTGCTGCTGGCAGAGAGAGGGTTCTCTGACCACCTCGTGGAAACTAGGACAGCGCTGAGTTTGGGCCACACCACCCACAGCAATGCTCTGTGGCGGCTAGGGACCTATGAGGCAAAAACCTCTCCAAAAAAAAAAAAGTAATCTCACAAAACAGATCTGATGCATCCAGAATAAGGCCGAGAGGTGCTTTTCCTCATGGAGACACAGACTCACTGCATGCTGGCAACTCTCTTCCCCGGGCCCTCAAGTAGAACAGGGCAAAGGATAGTCCCTCTGGGCTGGGCCAGTGTTCTCCACCTTCATCTCACACTTCAGGCCTCCCTCCCACTCCCCACCAGCCGGCCCATTTCCAGGTCCTGACAGTTCTAGATTCTCAGCTACTAGTGAAGGGAGCTACTTCTTGTGTCCTGACCTCATCACGGCTTCCAAACCACCATGGGTTTCCATCTTCCCTCTCTGCATTTCTGACACACCAGCCAGAAAGCTCTTCAAAAGACAGAAATCAGCTCCCACTCACTCCTACTGAGCTGGAATCTCAAGTCTTTACTATCTGATACGACCCCACGATTTGACTTGAGCTCTGTAGCCCCGACTCTACCACTGCCACCACCAACAGGTCCCCTCTCGAGCCCAGCGCAGCTCAGCCCTGGCCGCACAGGACAGTGCACGGACAGCTTTTATGCTGTCCCCAGGTCCCACAGCCTGAGAATCATGACTTGCTTTTGGGAGGACTTAGGCACCAGCAGTTTTTCTTTTCTTCTCATTCTAGGGACCTATGAGGCAAAAACCTCTCCAAAAAAAAAAAAAGTAATCTCACAAAACAGATCTGATGCATCCAGAATAAGGCCGAGAGGTGCTTTTCCTCATGGAGACACAGACTCACTGCATGCTGGCAACTCTCTTCCCCGGGCCCTCAAGTAGAACAGGGCAAAGGATAGTCCCTCTGGGCTGGGCCAGTGTTCTCCACCTTCATCTCACACTTCAGGCCTCCCTCCCACTCCCCACCAGCCGGCCCATTTCCAGGTCCTGACAGTTCTAGATTCTCAGCTACTAGTGAAGGGAGCTACTTCTTGTGTCCTGACCTCATCACGGCTTCCAAACCACCATGGGTTTCCATCTTCCCTCTCTGCATTTCTGACACACCAGCCAGAAAGCTCTTCAAAAGACAGAAATCAGCTCCCACTCACTCCTACTGAGCTGGAATCTCAAGTCTTTACTATCTGATACGACCCCACGATTTGACTTGAGCTCTGTAGCCCCGACTCTACCACTGCCACCACCAACAGGTCCCCTCTCGAGCCCAGCGCAGCTCAGCCCTGGCCGCACAGGACAGTGCACGGACAGCTTTTATGCTGTCCCCAGGTCCCACAGCCTGAGAATCATGACTTGCTTTTGGGAGGACTTAGGCACCAGCAGTTTTTCTTTTCTTCTCATTTTCTTCTTTAAAATTTTGCCAAAGGATGTGTGTACTTGCCAGAAGGGAGATGGAAAAAGTGAGAGAGAAAATGCTTACAGGATCCAGCACGATTTAATGGGGAAAATCTTCCTCTTTTTGCGGTTTCAGTATCTGCCATGCCTAAGACGAATACATACTCAGCATGATGCAGGGCTGCCCAGAATCGCTTCATCTCAGAACTGAAAAGGGACACTAGAGAGCATATCAGCCAGCCTGCCTACTTCACAGAGGGGAAAACTGAGGCCCAGAGGAAGGAAGTGACTGAGAACCGCAGGCCCCTACAAGAGAGCTGGAGAGTACGGTGGGCGGCACTAGCCCCCGTGTCAGACGCTTTCTGGAACCACCCCTGCGTGTGGGATGACTAGATCTGTCTCTACCAGGGGAGACATGGAGGCCCGGGAAGATCAGTCACATAGTGGTAACCCAAGTCTATCCGACATTAAAGCTCCTGCTCTCTCCGCTCGTTCCACCGCCTCCCAGGGCCCAGCCCTTCCCTCTGCCCCATGGAGGTGCGATCAGCCTCTTCCTGAACATGTCCAGTGGAGAAGAAGGCATTGAAAGAGGTGCCTTTGCAGGCAGCTCGTTTTCCTAGGAAGCTGCTCTAAGGTCCCAAATGGAGGCAAAGCACGGACGAGAACGCGGGCCTATGAGTCCAGGCCCAGGGACAGCAGCACGCCTTCGCTATTAGGTTGCAAGGAAGCGTAACTAAAATAAAACTATCAAGGAAATACTTGCAAAGAAAGCTCTACAGTGGCTGGCCCTGCTGGCTGCTGGTTAAGGGAAGTTAGATCCCACACAGCCAATGCAGTTTGAATCCAGGCCCTGTTGGCTTGAAAAACATGATTGCCACATGTGTGTGCGTGACTGAAATCTGACAGGACAGAAAAATGGAGGAGGGATTGTGGTGTGACTGTATCCCCTTGGGTGGTGCCTTTTCTTCTCCCTTTATGTCTCACATGCCCTCAGGCAAACTGAAAAATAAAAAGTTCTCACGGGAGACATTCAGCTACTTGGTAATTGCGAAGCTTTCTGTAAAGTAGGGTCTCACAAGTTCTTTTTTTGGGGAGAGGTTTTTGCTATAGAGCCTGTGCATTTGCCAGAGAGACAGAGAGACAAAAAGCAAGAAATCACCCCCCCAGGGGGGATAGCCACGCCGCAATCGCTTCTCCTCCATTCTCCTCTCGGGATCTTGGGCACGCACACACACGTGCCCAGCATGAGTTTAAGCCACCGAGTCCGCGACTTGAACCGTGGTCAACTACGTTGAAGTCTAGCGACATAGCCATTACGCTAACTGCTGGTCCCAGGTCTCACAAGTTCTAAAGCTTCAGGCAAAAAGCTAGGTTCTCATGCCTAACAGGACACATTTCAAAGGAGCAAAGGAACCCAGGCCCCTGGCCGGTGAGCGGCGCCCTTACCTGAGTGAAGTACAGCCTGGAGGAGTTGGAGCCCAGCAGCTGGCTCTCGATGTGCTGCTGCACCCGCTCCAGGATGCTCTCCTCGTGCAGGAAGTGAACTTCGTGTTTGGTAGGGTGCACGTTGACATCCACGTTCTGCGGGCTGATTTCTAAACTGCCAGGAGAGAAGAGAACAATGACCAGTGGTGCATGGGATTCCCTCTGACTGGGCTGTTAGGAAGCCCAGCTCTTTCAAAGAGGAGTCTGACAGAATTTCTGTTCCTTGTGAGTCTAAGGTAGAGTTCGGTGCTGCATTACCTGAGGTACAGGAAGGGATGTGTGTTTTTGGGCAAATACGCTGCATACACTGTTTCGATGGCTTTCCTCAATGAAGTAGATTCTACCAGACGATCTAAAAAAAATAAAAGGAAAAAAGACAACTCAAAACTGCCCTGAAGGGTGAGGTTATAGGTGCACATTTACCCCAAGCCAGGAAATCACTCAGAAAGAACACTCCGGAGTGATCTCCACATCAGATCCCAAGGACGAAAGGGCTCCCACTTGCAGCAATTCACTAGGGCCTGAACCCTCTCCTCCCAGTCGAAAACACGAGAGGGAAATACATTCTGCCTCCCTGCCTCCCTTCCCCTCACTTGCCCCGGGGGACTGGCTTTGCCCTTTCTGGGCAGTGCGAAGCGTGGCATCAGCGCTTAAACTCTGGACTACAAATACATATTGTAGTGTCTGTGCCAAGTGCGGGACACACCACGCTGGTGAATAAGCCCATTCCAGCCCCGAGTGGTCAGCGCCATGATGAAGGTGTGTGTGCTACAAGAAGGGAGGGCGCAGCTCCCCGTGCTCAGGGAGCCCCAGCAGTGGGCATCTGTGCGGGGAAGGAAGGGTCAGGACATGCGTTCCAGAATGGCAGGCAGCACAGGTGGCCACGTGTGCATTTATGGCAATTCAGGAAACAAGGCAGGTTTGGAGGGGATGGAGAAATAATAAACTGGGATAAATAAGACGGAAAGGTCTATTTTTAGAAATCACAGCTCTTCTCTCTCCCCAGACCTGCTAAGGATCTATCGTCCTGTGTCACTGTACTCAAGAATATGTCATTTCTTTTGATTTCCCATGAGAAGAGTGCCCCTGGTTTTAGTAATGGGGAGTCCGTTATTCTGAGGCTCCTAACATCTACGGCCCCTTCAACACTGCACTCTGTACATGTGTCCTGACCACACGGGCCTGACAGGAGGACAGCTGGAGCCCCTCCAGAGATGTCTGAACTCGAGACAAGCCACGGGAGATCTACGGACCCGCCACCTGTGTGAGCCTGTGCAGCGTGTAGTTATTAAAGAGCACGCAGAGTCTGACCTCACTTTGCTGCTGGGCACTTGGTGTGGGGGACAGATTAGCTAGTGCCCAGACTGTGTGGTGAGCAGCCCACCTAGGGACACGGCACTGACACGGCCAGTCAGAAGGCACTGAGTCAGACTTGCGCTTGTCTACTCTGTAGTTACCATGTGTGTTATGAAGCAGTTCCTCATTATCGTTAGGAAGAAAATGAATAAAAGACATTTTCTGGCTCTTGATTAAAACAAGTTCTGTTATGTATCAGACGACAGCCTTCCTAATGAAGTAGAAAAAGTCCATTAATAATATAAATCAGTTTAATAGAATGTGCCTATAAGATGACTGGCCAGCTTCCCACTGCTCCTGTACTTTGAACAACTCTTATAACACATGCATAACCTGAGACATTTATAGCTGGTTATTGCTATTAGTAGGAAAGAAGGACTATATCATTTCCATGCGCAAACAAAACAAAAACTATATAATTATTATGAAATGCTTTAAAATAAAGGTGAAGAATGCATAAGAATGTTGAAAAGTGAACTTACGGTGGGCCAGTCAGTGGTGTATTGGTTAAATGAGCTGGATCCCACATGGGCGATTATATGATTCAAGTCTTGGACCTAATGGCTTACAAAACATACCCAGCAAATGAGCATGTGTGTCCACATCCTCAGAGGAGAATGGAGAAAAAGGGACTGCAGTGTGGAGATACTGTCTCAATCTCCCCCACCCCCAATCCTGTCTCTGGCAAGTGTATGTACCCTATAGTAAATTTTTTAAAAAGTAAACATATAGAAAAGTAAATCTTTTTTTCTGGATGGAAAATAAAAAATGGAGTCAGAATGTGTTTGGACTATTTCTTATTGCACTGTCACTATCGAAACACTGAACTCATACAATTATGTTACAAGAAGCAGACTACCCAATAATACTTGCTTAGTAACAATCGCCTAAACAGTAGGTCCTCAGAGAGAAAAGAACTAGAAAGGAATTGGAGAAAAATTCATTTAGTCCATTATCTCCCTCACTTCTAGAACTCCCTTTTGTACCATAAATCTCATTCTTTTAAAAAAATCTCAGGCTGACCCCTGTAGACTAGAGGTTAAAGGGAGCTGACCCCACACAACCAACCATAATGTAAATCCCTAGTGGCTTGAGAAACACGCTGGGCATGTACGTGTGCATGCTCGAAATCCAGTTAGGATGGAGAAATGGAGGAGAAGGGACTGGGGTATGACCATGCCCCCCTGTGGGGTGCTTTCCTCTATCTTCCTCTCTCTCTCTCTCTCTGGCAAGTTCACGCGTCCTGTGGCAATTAAGAAACAAAAATCGCATGGGGCTTAGCATACATTTCTATACCTCAATGACCCTGCCTATGCTCATGGTTAGGGCACAGCAGAGCTGTGCCTGTGGCCTGCTTACAAAGTCGCTGATGCCAACAGGGGACTGTGAGCTCCCCGTTTGGGCTGAGAGGTGAGATCCAGACTGACAGCCGGCCAGCCAGCAGCACGTAGGGAAGGGCTGAGCACACACTTGGGACAACATTTACGAATGTTTCCTAATCGAACCAAACTTTGGCTACAATTTTCCCTGTGTGTACCCAAATCTATGAACGAGGAACTTTTTCATGGTCTCATAAAATTTCCAGTGGATGGATTTCCCCAGGTGTTCTTTTTCACTTACGGTTGATGAAGAGTAAGAAGATGCACTTCTTCACAGAGTAGTTCGCATTAGATATGTAGCCACTCATTTTAAAGGCTAGGGTTTTATCCTCACACCCAACTTCGATCAGTTCTCTGTTAAAAGACAGCAAATTTGAGGCTCTGGAAAACTCAAACATTATAAAAGATCCAGAGGCAGAAAACGAAGAGTTCTGAGATAGCTCTGTGACCTGGTGGTTAAGGCAGCCAGATCCCATGTGGCTGACCACAAGGTTTGAGTCCTGGACTCAGTGGTGTGAGAAACACTCCAGACACATGTGCATGCATGTGCAAAATCCCAACAGGAGGGAGAAATGGACGAGAAGGGACTCAGACGTGACCATCATCCATGGCAAGCACTTTCTCCCTCACCTTTCTGTGATAAGCACACATGCCCTCTAGCAAAAACAAAACAAAACAAAAAACCTGACAGGGATGTGTTAACTTGGTCAGATGAGCACCCAGAGACTTGGTTCACTGAGGTTTCCTAGGCACAGTCACCCATTCATCCGTCCGTCCATCCATCCCTCCATCCATCCATCCATCTATCATCTGTCCATCTACCCATCCAGCCATCTACCTACCCATTCTACCTGTCTATCCATCCATCATCTGTCCATCTACTCATCCAGCCATCTACCTACCCATTCTACCTGTCTATCCATCCACCCATCATCTGTCCATCTACCCATCCAGCCATCTACCTACCCATTCTACCTGTCTATCCATCCATCATCTGTCCATCTACTCATCCAGCCATCTACCTACCCATTCTACCTGTCTATCCATCCACCCATCATCTGTCCATCTACCCATCCAGCCATCTACCTACCCATTCTACCTGTCTATCCATCCATCATCTGTCCATCTACTCATCCAGCCATCTACCTACCCATTCTACCTGTCTATCCATCCACCCATCATCTGTCCATCTACCCATCCAGCCATCTACCTACCCATTCTACCTGTCTATCCATCCATCAT